TTCGGAATTCCAGGTAGTGCAAGAAATGAATGCAACCTACCGTTTACACACGGGCCCGTCGTGGCAGAAGCTGGTTCATCTTGTCGACCTTGTCGGGATAGTTACCCCAGCGTTTGATGATCATCACTAGCTTGATGTAGCCGGCCTTTTCCTCGCTGCTTAGAATGTTGACCAACTCTTCGTTGTGAGTGGGTGTTCCGTCTAGTTTCTCAATCCTCTTCAAGTCTTCTATCTGCTGCAGATCGGCGCATAACCCGGCCTCTTGCGCCATTTTACGAAATTTTCTCGCTGGTAATTTGCCCAACCAAGGCGAAATATCGGTTAGAAAGACACGCTGCTGGAATGGGTCGCCGTACGACTTCTCATCCTCGCCTAATCAAGATATAAATGGGATAAAAACACACACATGAACAAACATACGAAAAATGATTTATGGCCAGCCGTATACGTTAGGTTAACACAGCCAGGTTCTAGAGTGTCGATGTGCATCACTCCAGTCTGGACCTGTACATCATCAGTGGTTGATCTAAGTACGCTTATACCATGGCAATGGCTAACCTGGCAAGGATTCTTGGCATCTAAATCACTGTTGTGCTACATGCATGTGGCTCCATTTCAGTATGCCATGTATACTTTTATACACACCAAACACTGTATTTAACATACATATACCCAATCTACAGACAGAACTGTTTCATCCTTTGTGGACTTGTCAGCATACACATACACATACTGTATACTCTAAAAGCCATTATTCGAACGAGGCGCATATATAACGATTTCCCATAATCGACTAGTTTACGTGTACCAAAGGTAACGATTCTCACTCATTCTCAACGCTCAATAGGACAGTATATGTATCGATTTCTGTATAACGATTTCTATTTTAACGACAGATTTCCCCTCGTTAATTCTTTAGAGTTAGCACTTCGTTACATATATGGCTTTTACAGTTAGCATAATGCATGGTGTACAGATGAACAGAATTCCGTAGAATCTCGTAGAATCCCGCAGCCCCTGTTGGGTGTTGAATGTGAAGAACCCTATTGTGTTTACTGCTATTTTAACTGTAGGGGATCCTGGTGCTGCTGTTTCAGCTGCTACTGTTGATACTGCTGCAGCTGAAATTGCCACTGCTAGTGCTACTGCTGCTGATGCTGCTGAAGGTGCTACTGGTGATGCTGCTGAAGGTGCTACTGCTGCTGATGCTGCTGGAGGTGCTACTGGTGATGCTGCTGCAGCTGAAGTGGCCACTGCTTGTGCTGATGCTGGTGAAGGTGCTACTGCTGCTGATGCTACTGCAGCTAACAGTGCTGCTGGTGTTTGGGGAGAGGAAGATAGTTATTTTTGCTTTAATCCCTGTAAGAGTCCATGAAGAGAAGGGAACGAAAACGTTTGGTTCTAAATTTTCCTAGTGTTCATTTGGACGGGTGTGGATTGCGTGGATGCATGTACTGCATTCAAGAACAACCAGCTTCATTTAACACGAAAGAGTGCTAGCGACCTCGGCGATAATTGTATAAGAAAATTAGTTGCTCCCACACTGAAATAGTCAGTGGTGAGTCAGTCAAGGGTCAAGTCAGGTTGACCGGAATAGCGCGAGTTGCAGTGTGAGAGCAACCAACTTCCTTACAGCTTCATTTAACGTAAACATTATTAAAAGATTGCGCAGGTGTGCTTAGCCGTTCCCCAGTCATCATCGGCAGAGATAAACACCAGTTCACATAACAAGTTGACAACAACCTGCATCAAGCAGTGGAGTCGACTTGGTTACGTATGCCCATTGCAGCTGATGCTGCACTTGATGGGTTGCCAAGGCAAGCCGTGGCAATAAAAACAAACAAAAAAGTACTCAGGAGTCAGTACCACTCTTAGGGAACATGACTTCAATAGGAACACTGGTTAAAAAACAATGTACAAGGTCATCACCTCCTCATCAAAGTCTACACATACACGTGCATACAGTGACAAGAGGGTATTGCAAAACAATTCAACCAGCTCAGGGGCACTCACTGGCTCTGAAGATATTTTCGTCGGGTTGAACCACACTATTAGTATATTTAGACGTCACCGAGAACTTTCAAATACAAAGGAAATTTAGGCCACCAGCCTCACGCTCATTTTCTCCGAAATTCGCCCGCAATCGAACGGCTTCTACACTCCCAGAGAATAAGGTTGACTCCAGAACTACTTCAAACTACGTTTACTCATAATTCGCTACATACACACGGCTAAAACTCTGCCGTGTCCTTGCTGGAGAAAATATATTCACCAACCGGCATCATTGAAATACACATGAATCACGGTGTCCAAAAGCAACCAACCTCTCTCGTCGCCTTTCTCCTCTCCACCGATGAACGGTTCAATCGAGCTCACAAACGCATGCCGGTCGGCAATCTGATCGAATGTCTTTTCACTGCCGTGCAGAGTGGTACCGATAACAAAACAGCACAAAACAGAACGAAACAAAAACTAGAAACAGGTCCACGTTCTAGGTAGGGCCGTAACCGAAGAGCCTCCCTCAGTGGACAGTAGTAGAGCCTCTCCCTCCAGTGGACACTATAGAGTGCCTGCCCCCCCCCCCCCCCCCCCATTGGACAGTAGAGTGCGTGCCTGCCTCCCCCCCCCCCCCCCCCCTCCCCGTGGACAGTAGAGTCCCACCTCGGTGGACAGTAGAGCCTTGAAATGCAATGCAGCATTTTGTGATCAAAAAGACCCCCTCACTAAATGTGCAGGCTGCGTGTTGTCAGTGTTTCCATTACCCTGAACTAGGGGTGAAACGATTAGTTCGAATATCCGAGTATTCGCTCGAAAATTTCAAACGAGCGAGTACTCGAAATTTTGTACTCGATCGATCTTTCAAAACTTTTCCCGTACACTGTGGCCGCTGGTTGCATGCATTATGCATACCTTTGAGTCAGTATTTTATGACTTGGACGACGCGATCATCGACTTTACTCCAGGTCACGGCAAGGCAAGCTGTGAGATACGACAGCTAAAAGTACAATGTAGAGACGTTGGACACTCGCGCGGCGACTTCGCGCTGCATTCAACTGCAAGTGTAGCAAACGGTAAGTTAGTTACTGGTAGTTTGTGGATGCATTGTAGTTTTGTTACTTACTTGATCTTGTCCCTTCGATACTCCTTCCTGTGACCGAAGTGTTGTTGTCGTGTGACAGTTTCCGTTTTTAGTCTCTAGTAGTAGAATTTCTTTTTGTTCACCGTTTTCGCTATGTCGAAGACTAAGGTTGGGAAGCTGGCATCCCAACGCTCTTTCGTTTGGGAGCACTTTTCGCAACCGGTGGAGAGCAAAGTAATTTGTAGCCACTGCAAGCGCTCTTACTCTTACACTGGAGGGACGACGAACCTCCAGAATCATTTGAGAAACAGCCATCCCTTCGTCCTTTCCAAGCCTGCTGCCTCTAGCTCTGTGACAACTGAGCAAGGAACTCGCCCGATATTGGCGTTTGGCGTTCGGCAGTCACGAACACCGTGCAACGCGGCGGAGGTCTCGCAAATTTCCAACCTGCTGGTGGACTGGATCTGCCTGAATATGCGACCTCTGGGGATTGTCGGCGACGGAGGTTTCGTGAGGCTCATGTCGTTCCTGAAGCCTGGCTTCACTGTGCCATCGCGAACCTGCGTCGCCGGCATGATCCAAAAGCGCCATGCGAAGGCACGAAAAGAACTGGTCGAGCTGCTCCAGGACGCTCCAGCGCTTGCGCTTACGACGGATGCCTGGACGTCAAAGGCAACGATGTCTTACCTGACGTTCACTGTCCACTTTGTTGCAGGTGATTGGACGTTGCGGAGCTACGTCCTGGAAACAACATACTTCCAGGAGGGCCATACTGCCGACAACCTGGCTGCGGAGACCAAGCGAGTGGTCGAGAGCTTCGGCATCAGCACGAGCAGCGTGAAGTGTATTGTGCACGACGAAGCACGGAACGTAATGGCAGCCAGTCGCTTGCTGAAACGGGAGCTGGCCTGGGATTTCATCGCCTGCGCAGCACATCGTCTGCAAACTTGTATCCGCCATGCTGTTGCTGGTACCCGGCAGGTGGAGAAGTTGCTGGCTGATGCTCGCAGGTTGGTGAGCCATTTTCACCATAGCAGCAAGCAGACAGAGGCCCTCAACGAGCGCCAAGTAGCTATTAGCAGCAATGGTGGCAAGGCGCTGCACCTAATCCAAGATGTCGCCACACGCTGGAATAGCGGCCATGCCATGTTGGTGCGCCTACTGGAGCTGAAGTTGGCAGTCATGGCTGTGCTTCAGGAGGATTCAGCGCACAAGTCGCTCCTTCTAAAGGACCACCAGTGGACGCTTGCGCAGGAGGTTGTCGACACCCTCGGACCTGCAGCAACAGCAACAACTCTCCTTGGCGGTGAGAGGTATTGCACGATGTCTTTGCTGCTGCCGATTGTTTCGTCCCTCCACCGTGCATGGCAGCGGGAAAGTGATGCTGACGATGCCACACTTGCGATTTCTTCCTTTCGTGCTCGTCTGGTTGAAGAGCTGGAGGATAAATTCAGCATCGCTGCAATAGACGCTCTGTCTCTGCCAAGCTTGTCCTCGGCCATTGACCCGAGAAGCCTGCTGTTGGGATACCTTGACAGTGACGAGGACAAGGCTGCCGTCAAGCTGGAATTGAAGCGCATGGCTTCGAGCATTGCTGACCTCTCCAGCATGTCAGATGATACAGGTGAGGGAACCGAGTTCAATAGATTTACAATGTTCGCATGCCAAACAACATTGACACATGTCCTTGTAGAGATTGTCCATCTTGATATATCCAGATCATAGACTTCTAGA